AGGAGTGGGAATCGTCAGTACAGCCTCCTACCCGCCATGTATTGAAAAGACATGTAGCTAATTTGCAAGAAGGATGAGTGAAGGAAAAAGATAAAGAGAGTAAGAAGGACAGAAACTGTTTAATATCATGAAAGAAGCAGGAGTGATAGAGAAGGTGGAAGAGGAGGGAACTAACATATGATAAGGATAGTAATTTTATGAAGTTATGAGGAGACAGCTTTCATGAGAATATCGCACTAACTAAATTTTTAATTCCTAGATCATCAGGGTAAATGAATTTGCTCAGTACTGATCGGTTCCTGAAGTAAAATCTTAAAACGCAGCGTTCTATCTTAGCAATATCAAACTTTTCTTGTCTGTAAATGTTTATGAGGCGTCTAGCCCAGTCAAGAAACCTTTCTGGAAGGGTAGAAATGCGCCCATACCGAAGTAGTTGCGATATAATAACGTCATCCTGTACCGCATGGTCTATACCGCTATCAGGATGACCACCGTAATTAGCCGTGAATGGGTAATCCAAGGTCTTATTGTATATGCTAAAAATGCATCTGCCATTTTGGCATAGAATTTGAAGGTCCAAGAAACAGGCATGTTGTCCGGAGTAAGTAGTATTGAGTTGTAGGTTGGGTCCATAGATATTGCTCGCAATTGGCGCAATTCACGATTGAAATATCATCGATATATCGAAAGAGATGGAAACGAAACCCCGGATTCTTAGGAAGGAAGCGACACTCCATTGCTGACAGTGTGAGATCTGCAATATCCGGGCTAGCATTACCACCCATTGGTACACCTTGTATTTGCTTGAATATGTAGCCACTAAATCGTACATATGTTTCTTCAAGAATGATACGAAAAATGGCCTTGACTTCATCCCTAGTGTAGGATGTAACGTTATTTGTAAATTCGTTAGCATACCAGATTTGGTTTTACCCAGACTAACATATTCTTTACCCGAATTGTTGAAGCAAAGGTCAATAAGATAGAAAAGGTTGTCAATAATGTAAGAATGTGGCAAACTGGTGAAAAGGTTGCTGAAGTCTGTGGTGTATAAGTGTTCGATAGTCCTGCCTAGTGCAGTGAGCTTTTGAACTACTGTTAACGAATTGGCGATGCCAAAATAAGACAAAGATTGCTAAGACAAGGACTACTCAGTAGTACCAATACAACGAACAATGGGAAGGGAGGCCACCAGTTAGACGGATAGACTTGTCTGAAGGCCCACGAAAGAACTACTTGTATTAAGTTGGAGGTGTCAATCCAAACAATATCGAATACAACAACAAAACGGCAGCTGCG